ACAAGCATAAGCACTGAGGCTCTCCAAAAGCTGCCCACACTCTCATACACCCACACGCTTGCACGCTTGAGGCTATTAAACATGGCAACATTTCATCTCCAATCATGGGGAAGGGGGGGGCAGACTGTCCCAAGGTTCAGTTACGTTCACACCTGCACCCTCTGAGTTGAATGCAGTGAAGCACAAGGAGGCAAAATTACGCTTGGATACTTTATCACCTTGAGATGCACTTTAATTCTTAAACGACAATTTGCAGGAGTTAAGCAGACAAGGTCAATGAATGGAATATGATTTTTTTTCCTACCTTCAGCTAGTCAAACCTCTTTGAATAGTGCACACAAATCTTTCAACAGAACTAAATTATTTACCGTGACGCATTAGGTTTATAACAAAACGCATACAGCCCAATACCACAGATGGTTTCCCAAATAATTAGGCCCAATAAATTAGTACAGATGACAGCCTTGCTAAAAAGCAACAGAATATGACTTACTATAGCTCATTTGTCAGATTAGTGTGCATAGAACATCCTTAATGCTAAAGACTGAGGAGTCGATTGATCTTTGATTAAGGTCATACAACAACTTGAAAGTAGTAATTAGTTTTTCCTGCTGATCTAAGCCGTCACTATGATAGAGGAGCCCTGTTGGGTGATGGATGGAAAAGCATCCGGTTATCTTGGAGCATCAGTCCGACTCAGGGCTGTTTGTTAGCTCTGTTAGACCCCAACAGGAGTTGCTGTCGAAGCAAACTGAGGATCATTCTCTTCCTGTTGCCCTTCGTATTTAATCAGGAGCCACTCTCACACATCTCCTCCTCAACTAACTCTTTAAATCTTTGGCTGGAAACTTGAAAGCTTCTTTTTGTAGTAGATCTAGAGCTCCAACTCCAATAATTCCTATTCAAGTTCTTTAAAAGGGTACCGTATTTTCACGACTATAAGGCGCACTTAAACGTCTTTTTTTCCCCTCAAAATGTGCGGTGCGCCCTTTGGTGCGGTGCGCCTTATGTGTGTTCCAACTGCGACTTTTGAGACCACCTCATTGAGGAGATGATGAAAGAGTGGCTGAATGGAAGGAGACCAGGTGTTTTTTTTCCACTCATCACCATCGCTGTTAATATGTAACTCCATGCGTGCCCATCTCACAGCTGATGTTAAAAACGTGGGGAAACAAATTAACCCTGTGCTCGCTGTTCAACCGCTCGACATCGGTGTGAACCGGACCCAGCAGGTGCAGCAGAAGCAGGGAGTTTACACGCAAAGTCAATGGTTGACGCGCGTATAGGTGCAGCAAAAGTCCTGCAGCGCGTTTTGAGCTGCAGCCGCAGCGCCTCGGGAGCGTTTAAGTATCTGACGCACCGCCAACGCGCTGCTGCTGCTCGAGATGGAAAAATTGAAGTTTTGCTGCTGGACGCGCCGCATCAACCAATCAGAGAAGCTGATCTGGGAGCTGACAGCGAGACAGACACAGCGCTCTGATGACACATGATATTAACGCCAATGAAAAAGGCTGGATGAATGAGGAGATGATGAAAGGCAGGTGTATGTGAGGAGACCAGGTGCTTTTTTCCACGCATCACCATCGCTGTGTGCCCATCTCACAGCCGATGTGAAAAAAAAGGTGAATCAAATGAACGCTGTGCTCGCCGTTATCCCGGGGGGTCTGACAAAGGAACTTCAACCACTCGACATCGGTGTGAAGCGGCCGTTCAAAGTAAGGCTGCGAGCGGCGTGGGAGCGATGGATGACCGACGGAGACCACAGTTTCAGGATAAGTGGAAGGCAGCGCCGGGCAAGTTACACCACCGTTTGAGGATGGATTGTAGATGGACTAACGTGTCTGCTGGCTCTGTTGTTCAAACTTTCGCAAAAGCCGGCATTATTTCTGAGGAGCCGCGCTGCACGGAAAGTGACTGACAGCCAAGAAGGGGAAATTGGCATGTCTGATTTAGCGCAGCTGTTTTATTCAGAAACAGAGGATGATGACTTTGATGGGTTTGATTAATACTTTGTAATAAATACATTAATAAAGCACAATCATACTCAGTTTTGCTCCCGCTCTATTTTTCTACCTGAAAACTTAATTTAACAGCAGCATCTGGGCGGGTCTCCTCCTCCTCTTCAGCGCGGTGGCTGGCAGGTGTTTTTTCATCTAAATAATCTAAATCTTGCAGCTATATTTGCGGTGATCAGTGGGAATAAAGTAGTTTTAATATGTTTTTAAGTGAGAAAGTCCACCTGAAAACTTAATTGCAGTCAGTTCATCCAGATTATCTATTTCTGTCGGAGGCGCTCAGACCCCCACATACCAGCGGTACACCGACAGTAAATCCATTCAACAGCAGCCTCACCGCGGCTGCTGGCAGGTGTTTTTCATCTAAATGATTTAAACTGCAGCACCAGGATACCGGCAATAAAAGCGAACATATTCCGTCGGCAGGTTTTAGGATTTTCAGTTAATTTAGGAGTAATCACAGCGCACTGTCATCTGCGATGTGTCTGTCTCATGGCCAGCTCGCAGGTTTGATTAATACTTTGTAATAAATACATGAATAAAGCACAGTCATACTCAGTTTTGCCCCCGCTGTATTTTTAAATACGCAGTAGAGGTATTTAAAGGTAGTAGCTAGAGGACATGTACCGGTATATAAAAAATGCGCCCTATAGTCCGGTGCGCCTTATGTGTGTGTTAAATACAGAAATGGGACACATAACTGAGACTGCGCCTTTTAGTCCGGTGCGCCTTATGGTCGTGAAAATACGGTAAATAGATACAGATAAAAAGCTGTTTGCATGTAACATTGAACATATATGAACATATATTCCATATGAAACAGAACTTGTTTCATGAGAAGTTGTGTGCAGTGAAAGACTTTCCATTAGGTACATTGTAGAAGTAAAAGAGGACAATAGTCATATTTCCTTTCACAAGTATTTAAAGTATTTTACACTTTCTTTAAATTGTTTTATTGGGGTGGTTCTTTAGTGGTGCATAATCACAAGAGTAGAGCAATACAAATGCTCCAGTCTCAATGCTGCAAAAGATATAGTGAAGGATTTTTGCGAATCTTTGAAAAAACCCGCCCTATCCTTTTTTATAATATGAACACGCACAACCCTGGACCCGTACCCGAGAGGGAACACCCATTAAACACGTGCAAGAGCATGCACGATCCCATTTCTACTTGTGCACAATCTGTTTAAAAGTTGCTGTCTGCATCGCTCATACAAGCTTACTTTCAAAAAGAAGATTTGCCATTTTTCTACTATTTCAGACTCACCACGGGTAAGTGAAAATGGGGATGACCACGTACTGTAGGACAGCCTTACATAAAGCTTATCACCAGAAGGATTGACAATTAGGAGGACTACTTCTTTTGATGATCCACCCTGTAAAAAGAACATCCTCCACTGTGGTTTTGAAGGTTGATTTATACTTCAAAACCAGGTCTTCTGCATAGTTGTTGCAGTCAACAAAAAAACGTCCCCGCCCCTTTCCGTAGACACTTAGCAGCACCTCTGCCAAATTGTAGCTGACCGCAAACAGTGCCGCAAACAGGAAGCCGGCTTGTTTTGTTTTTATGACCGAAATTGCGGAAAACAACTTGTGAAGTTTGACCAGCTAGAAGAGCGAGGTGCGCGAGAACGCTGGTACCCTTTTACCACTTGGATCCCCACTCTTTTTCGCCCTCATGTCCCTCCGTTATCAGACTAAACTTGCCCCCACTTCCTCATCTCCTCGGCCGTATCTAGACCCACAGCGTATAGCGCAGACCACGCTTCAATATTGAGCCTAAATCAAAAATGTCTGCGTCAAGCTCACTGCAACATACTGCTGCAAGATTTACGTATCCATATGTTGTATTGGTCTTGTCAAAGTCCTGTTCGAAATCTGGTAATCAATCGTGTGCAAACCTCAAAGGTGATGTTTACAGATGTTCTCTATCCAATTGGACACGTTTTTAGTCTCTCCATGAGGAAACTTTGACATCTATACCATCAAACATCCCAGTTCAACAATATGCATTACATTGTACAATGGGATGGAATTTTGTGGTTTTGACATCAGGAAATGTGGAAGAAAAAAAACAGGGGTGTTGGCAGCTTTGCAGGATGATGTGATGCTTGACAGATGTATGGAAATATAGAGGAACGTTTCACATTGGTTTATAACTGAAGGGAAAATAGAAGTACTGAATCTGTAGCTCTTTTCTATGATATGCACTGTTGTAGACCTGATCTGAAAAGGGGCCACAGTGGGAATAGATGGTGTGAAGGAAATGATTACAGTACAAACCCACAGGAAACCAAAAGTCTGCTCAGTAATCCATCTTACTGCCCTGGTTGTTTCCCCCACTTCCATATTGCTCATTGCGCTGTGCTCCATCAGACTGCAAGGATCCTCCAGAGATGCAAGTTTAGTTATGTGAGAGTATCAATGTAGCAGATAAAACTGTGTCTTCCTTTGCGATTTCAAAGTGAAAGACATACTAATCGGCAGACCCTCTAGCTCGCTCTATCACACACAGCCTTTGTCATGTTTGTTTTATCACAAGCTGTTTGCCTGAAAAGGCCTGGCTGCCTTCATTGATACAGTTTGTCAGACATGTTTTCAGGCGCTGTTTTTCTTTTTTTCTTTCTTTTTTATTTATTTCTTTTTATTTTTTTTGCTTTGTTTCTAATCCTGCTCTGTGCTGTTACTGCTACTGTTAGCAGTACCAGACGCCAGTCCAGCCTGGTTCTCCCAAAATAAAAAAATAAGAGAACTGTTCCAATTTTGCCATACTCTTTATTTGCCTGATATATTGGTCATGATATTTTTACTCATGACATTTTCCTCCTGCAATCCAGATTTGTTTAATTTAGTGTTGATTTGACATTATTAAAACTGTAAAATGTAAAAAGCCACTTCCAGCTAGATAGTGATGAATAGATTCTGTAAGTTGGGTAATTCTAATATAATTGGTAAACTTTTTTTCTTTTCTACTTTTCTTTTCAGGAACCGTTTCAGGCTAACATGGCCAGGATTAAAGATATGGTTAGGCTTTTGTTTTGTTCTTGTGTGTGTCTCGTGTCTCGTGGTGTTGCTTCTATTTCCTCTTTATGAGTTCAAATGGAAGTATTGTTTAGTTTATTGCCTCGGGACTCACAACCTTAACTGCCTTCTTCCTTTTCAGAGAAGAGAATCTGCCACTTTGTCCAAAAAGGCAAACAACACCTTCAACATCGTCGGGACCACCTACGGTATCAACGTCGCAAAAGATCAAGGGTTAACCACCATTGCTAAGAGCGCCCCGGGACCTTCAGCCAAACACTCCTTTCTGCATAAAATGGACGACCCCTATACAGAGGCTAAGAAATCCTACAACCGCGTCAGCAAAGTGGACAAGATATCTCGCATCATTTTCCCAGTTCTCTTCTTCATTTTCAACTTAGGCTACTGGGCTACATATGTCAACAGAAAGCCCGCCATCATGAAGGCAAACAACCTAAACTGAATTGAACCAAATGTCGGCTTTGAAAGATTAAGATAGGTTTGCATTAAGCCAAGTCCATCACATCTTAACGTGGGTGGGTGTGTGTGTGTGTGCGGGCGCATGTTTTGCGTGTCTGTGTTTTTTTTCTTAAACATTTGATATTTTTTGCACGGCTGTGTCGTTGGGAGGCTAGTTTCCATCACAGTCGGGACCTGGGAGGAAGCGCATTCTCTCATCAGCCTGTGTTTGTGCAGCGTTTCTTTTTCTCCACATTCACTGTAGCTCTGGCCCTGTTCCCTGTTGTGGTTAATCCTTTGCTGTATCTCGATTGCTTGCCGTTTTGTACTGTAGTCAAATCGTGCGTCCACCGTTTCGACATGTTTGGGTTTTTGCTTATGATAAGTTAGCACAAGCATGCATTCGCTGTTTTCATTGTAACTCATTACCAGTGATAAGGCGCTGACACACTGTACGCACACAGACACACACTGATAGTGCAGAAAGCAGAAGGAAAGCCATTTGCTGGCCCCTTTATTGTGCTCTGTTAGCTGGGGCAGCCTGTATAGTTTTATAGGAACATCATTAATAATTGTCAGAGTCTGGCCTTCAGCTTGCGCTGAATCTTAACACACACAATGCGGCCTCAAAGGGCTGCCTGTACATTTTCTAGTCCACTGGCTTTTAATTGTTTTAACTGGCTGATTATGTGTAACGACAGATAATATATGTGCCTTGGTGAATACACTCATCATAAAGAAAAGGAGTTGGACATGCTCACGTTTGCATTTCCAGAACATTATGCATAACTACAGTGTTTTGCAAATGTATTTTCTCTCCTTAAATATTTCCAAGTAATAATAACAAACCTTATTGAGTTTTATTAAAATTTAAATGTATGTCAGCACAAAGTGGTCCAGGATTGTCACGTGGAAGGAAAAATATACGTGCTTTTCTTTTTCTTTTTTAAGGTTTATTAGATTTTTTACTTTTACTGCAGCTTACAGCAGCTTGTCTGCTAGGTTGTTTTATCATAGCAAAAACTCAAAGTCTGATTGGCTGCAGCATGCCTACAAACCTTTATTTTTCAACTTTGGAAATTCTACTTCAGGATTTCCAGTCAGAGTTTAATCTTATTGGAAATCCCAATAAGATTAAACTCTGTGTTTTAAATGGATAAATCTATGACGAAGTATTAGGGCCAGGCTAGAGATTTTTTTCATGTTAATTTGAGAATTAATTCAGAATATTATGAGAATAATGTTGTAATATTCCAAGAATAAAGTCATAACATTATGAGAATAAATTGGTAAAATTACGAGAATAAAGTCATAAAACTACAAAAATAAAGTTGTAACATTACGAGAATAATGTCGCAATATTATGAGAATAAAGTCGTAATATTACGAGAATAAAGTTGCAATATTACGAAGATAAAGTTGTAACATTACGAGAATAAAGTCGCAACATTATGAGAATAAAGTCGTAATATTACGAAGATAAAGTTGTAATCTTACGAGAATAAAGTTGTAACATTACAAGAATAAAGTAATGAAATTACAAGTATAAAGTCGCAACATGACGAGAACAAAAACCTAAAATTTACGTGAATAACGTTGTACTTTATGACAACTCTTAAAACAAGCAATTTCTTCTCTAAAATAAGGAATGTTGAGCATCATGTGTAGTTATACTTTGGCATCAGGTTAACAAATAAGGAAATCTTTAAGCACACCAGAATTAAATTGGGCAGGATGTCAAAGTGAACTCAGGTTGCTGTTTGGTGGAGCTGGTCGGCTTTCATCTACTGGTCGAAGCTCGAAGCTTTCTTTCTGAAACAGGTTGTGGTATAATGACTTCGTTCTCGTTCTATTTCAACTTTTTTCTCGTAATTTTATGACTTTATTCCCGTAAATGTATAACTTTATGCTCGTAAAGTTATGATTTTACTAATGTTGCACTTTATTCTCTTATTTAAAAAAAAAAATCTCTAGGCTTTCCCTTATACTCCGACATATAAATCAAACCCCTTACAAAATGGAAAATGATAGACTGAGTAAGTCTTCACCCCACTCTCAACTTTAACCATCCAACTGTCTTTTAAGCCAAACCACATCATGATGCTGCCACCACCATGTTTTCACCCAGAAAATGAAAAACAATGGGCTTGAAAAGTAACTCTCCATTTAACACAATAATCCCCTTTGAAGCATGGTTGTCTAAGGTGTGAAACTCGGCTCCAATTTGTGGAACCAAGTCAGAACTGCCCTCCAGAGGTTAAATTACCTAGCAACCCTGCCACTTTCATGAACACATGAAAAGTATTAGAAATGTGCAGACCTATATATCTGCACCAAGGGAGCATAAATGGGCCTTTAATAATTGCTTTCTTCTACCCCTTTATTGATTAAGTCCAGGCTTGGTGGACTACATAACTAGAAGGGGTCCCGTCCACAGACACTCCCTTCTGCAAGATGGATTTCCTCATCTCCCAGAGTTACCATTGGCCTGTTGGCTGCTTCTCTGATTCCCTTTAACTAATGTTTAGAAACCATCCTCTGAGACTTTCACGTAATTGATCGATTCTTTTAGGTTTCTTCTATAAATACAGCTGAAGAACTGTACTGTAATGTTTAGGACCATGTGCATTTTTCCTTCCATTTCACAATTACAATTATTTTTGTGCTGGTCTATTACAAAAATTTTTTAAAAAGGTGCGTTGAATTTAGTAATTGTTATGTGACAACCCCAAACGTTTAAGGAGTTCTAATGTTTTTGCATGGTACTGTATCTGTACAAAAACATGTAATGGTCTCTGTAGGTTTTATCTACTGCAGTGTGTGGCTTTTCCCATCCTAAACCAGCCCTTAAACATAGACGACCCAGACTATAAAACTGCCTCTTGGTATGAAGGGTTAACAGACCTACTCCTGTGCGAAGACCTTGTAATGAGATTAAAGGCTCCAGGGCCGTCAATAACAACAATCATTTTAATGTATGCTGTTGGTGAGTGGAGCTAACCAATAAACTACCACCGTTACCTCAGAATGGAGACAAATTCGGAATCACAGCTAAAAAAAAAGATATTGTTAGATATTTTTATCCTCATGAGAACAATCACTCTTTTCCTTACTTTACAAGCCAATATTTCCCTGCTTCATTTGCGCTTGTTCCAAAATGTTTATCATTTCTCTGCCATTGCAAGAGTCCATGCTCTTCATTTATTCTTACCTCTGTGACGTGTAATGGTGTTGATTTTGGTTTTATGTTGGGTTTTTTTTTTCTGTGGACAACAAAGGCATCTGATTTTAAATAATCCTCAGAGACACTTTGTAAACAGTAACATACATGCTGCGAATTACTGTAGGACAAAACAACACCCAGTTAAAAGAAATACCCTTTTCCTCGAGAAAATACAGTAATCAGACATTGTTAAGGTGATTATTTTCTGCTTTTGTTCACATTTGTTAAGTGACTTCATTATGTGTATGAGACAATCTGTTTTTGTCATTTGATCCTATGTATTTATACAATCTGATTCTAAGCAGAATGATGTTTTATTTGCCAGGTGCATTCTGGATATTTCTGCGTATTTGAAGTACGTACTCTAAGGCCCCGATATGCACAATTCAACAAACTACTGTTAGAAAAGGAAGAAATGGTGTGCTTTGTTTTGTTTTTGTTTTTATGCTGTATTAAAGGTTGTTGGGCAATCATGTGAAATGTACCAGCCATTTTAGTTTGTACATGTTTATACCTGCAATCTGTAACTTGCAGCAGCAGAGTGCTATAAACATTTAGACAGGGCATAGAGTCACATCATTACCCACTAGCAACCAGCTGCATAAACACTTTTTAACTTTATGCATTTTCACAGGCTTATATGTGAGGCTTATGCTGCGCACCTATGACAAACCTCTGAAAGTGTTTTTCCTCATTTACTATACAAATTTAGAAATAAAATGACTACATATTTTTTATTTATTTTAAACAGGTTTTCTGTTCCTAAGACATCTAAAAAGCCTTAGTTTGTGTCAGTTATAAGCCTTAAATTCATAAATTAACTTCAGATTTTTATATGCATTTTAGCCCAATCTTAAATGTCTGCGTATTATTAAATACAGTTTTTAAAAACTTTTATAGTTCACTATTTCCTCGTGACAGAAAGCGTATTTTATTGTAGCTTGAATAGAAAAGCACCAAAGGTTGAATGAAGTTGCATTTCAGTCGAATATACACATTGGACAACAATAACAGCAGAGAAACTCAAAACTATATATATTTATATTAAATAAAAACAAAGTTAAAATGAAATACAGAGATAGATCATAAAACTATCAGCTTTTAATGCTTTTAAAGTTTGAATGGCTGTATGGACGAAGTGTGAAAAGGTAAACTGTGAAGGTCCAAAAAAAATATCAGACTAATAGTCGATAAGAAAATTTAGTTCACTGTACATATAAATGTTGGGTCGGGTAAACTACATGAAAGAGCTTTGGAAATGCTTGGCAAAAAAAAGTAGGATTTATTTTTACAAACATATATTTTTACTTAATTGTGTTTCTATTTAGTCAAATAGAAATTGTAATGCACCATTAGCATTTGGTATTCTTTTTATGATTTATTTTTTAAGTCCTTAATTTAAGAAATGAGGAATTAAAAAGTCTTAATTTCAAGCTACTAAAAACTTGCAGAAACCTTGTTTAAAACATGAAATTAGATTGACTTGTCAAAAAACATCAGTATTCAAAAGCCACTCTCTCTGAATTGCTTTTTATACATAAATGATCAAAAGATTAAATGTTTATTGGATTCTGTTTTATGAAGAACAGAAACAAAGTGTTTTTTGGATTTTGTAATCTTTTGCCAGCTTAAGTTAAAACATATATATTTTTTAATCATTATTTTACCTTAACAATTTTTTTTTTTTTTTTGGAATAGAAGCTGGTGAAGTTTGTTCCCTCTGCTTTCTGGCTGATAATTATGTCTGAGTCCTATAAAAACCTGGATAGGAGTTACTGTAGAATGATGGCTCTAAACAAAATAGCCGAATTTGTGACCTAATATGGAAAAAATATATATTATAGGCAGTTTGAGTCTCTTAAAATATGTAATGATCAATACATTTATGATGAATGTAAGCAATGGACATATTTTGTCAAAGTATTCCTACATCCTGTCCTTTACCATACTGTGTCACATTAGAAGCATAAACCTTAATGCACTTTTTTAAATTCTATTTTTTTTTGTGCTTCCTTCATTTGTCTCTATTTATTTTTTCCCATTAACTCTAATCAACCAACAACTTACCATTTCCCAACTAAGGCGTCCCCCCAGCACAATGCTGCCACCACTGTACTTCTCAAATGTTTGTAAAGTGACAGAGTATGAAATACTTTCACAAAGCATGTAAACTCTTATTTGTATGTAGAAGTTATCTTAAAATCTACTTCACATCTAACATTGTTTAAGATGTCTTTTTTTTTGTCTAAAAGTTTTTTTGTTTCAGCAGATCTCAATTTTTCCTTTATATTCCCCTTAAGTGTATATTAAAGCACCATAAAAAGAGGAAAACACTTTCAGAGCTTCTGCTTTCTGCAGCAAACCCACAATACAATCATTGTAACCCAATGGCGACTACAGAGAGAAACTGAAAAGGAGTAGGCAAAAAATGAAGAAAACGGGAAAACAGCAAAGTTTATTATTTGCAGTAAATTTGATTTTAGCAACATAAATGCACACTAGGATGAGCAGGACGATAGAGCTCAGAGGATTTGTTCACAGTACTGCTGCCATTCAAGTTTGGATTTGATTGTATTATGTGGCATTTTCTATAACAGGGCCAGAGTTCAATACACTAAAACCATATCATCTTATAAAGTGAGCTACGGTATATTAAAGCTACAGTGTGTAATAATTACAGGCATATAAAATCAGAAATTTAATATATTATACATAACTATGTTATTTATCATCACCTATGAGCTCAGCCTTTTAACCATAATATTTGCGTTGCCTTAGAATTCGTTATTTATAATTACATAGGAGCGGGTCTCGCAGCCATGGAGGCTGACATCTTTGCGCTACGGCAAGCGCAGAGGCAACAAACTAGCGATTGCGAGATCTCCCATGACGCTCAAAAATAACTACGGCAAGTTGAGAGAGATTAACTGAGACGGTACTGAACAGTAGATGGCAGTATTATGCCTGAGAAGCGTTTAGTCTGCCTGAAACCAAAGAAGAAGAAGAAGCAGGTATACTGCGCCTCAGTAACAAGAAAGGTGAACAAGGCGGCAGGCGTGAGTGACTTTGCAAACTGTTTTGCACTGTGTGGCCAAACATCAGACGAATGGAGGATCATGCCTACTCTGTATCACAACGAAAAGCGGCGGACACCGAACCCCCGTCATCTAAGAAGCGGAAACACGACGAGAATAAACGCAAGCGTGACAAGAAACGGCAAAAAACACGGATCAACATTGGCACGGCATTTACACGATGGAAGTCACTGATGGAGGAAAAAGGTTTTCAAAGTGACGCTCAAGTTGCCAGTTTTCTCTTGGACAGGTAATTAATCCTACACACACAATTGTCTAATATCACTGCAGTTTTTGGAGTACAGGATGCTCAGACCTGTCTAAAACAATAACATGCTGCGTGATGATGCTGTTACTCTCCAGTATACTTATTCAGCAACGTCCCTGACGTTTCACAGGTAATGATTCAGTAATTTTCTGTAAAATAATTTTCTGGATATATACCTCGGTTACTTCTCTCCGGCTCCTTTGGAGATCTTCAAGCCTTTCCTCCTCTGCTCTCACCCCGCTGGCTCCCCTCTCTCGCCTGGCCCTAGCTGCACGGCCTCCCTGCCTTCGCCCTCGTCCTCTCCCTCTCCCTCGCGTTGTAACCCCCGTGCCACCAAAATGACTTGGACTCTGTAAACGGGGGATATATATCCTTCCAGCGAACACAATCTCGCTGTTAAACTAATGACTACAATTACTTCGTCTGTTTATATCACCATGCAAAGCAGCTCACCAAGACGTCACAACGATGTAGAAAAAATAACGGGTATATTTATTATCTTAAGTCTACATGAAATCTATACCCTACACAGACTAATGAAATACTATCTGTAAAATTATCTATGTAAACAAACCTCATCACTTGAGAGGGTAGGTGATGTGGACGTCGTAGAAGAAATTTTGTCCCGTAACGCTCGCCGTACTGTTGGGGGGGAGAAGCGGTGGGGGGGAGATGTTCATGTTGCTGCGGTCTGTAGTCTGACCGCTAGATGTCGCTGAAAATTACACACTGTAGCTTTAAGAGTATAATACTATATGAGTATATTTATGCTAATTAGTAGAGCATTAAATATTACCTTTTATACAACATAACCTCTACAGTATTGATGGAAAGGTCTTGATACGTAGAAAATTGAGAAAAATAGATAATCTAAAGAGGTAAATAATGGCAAAAACTTGTCAGAAAATGTAATTAACTTGTGAATTTGTAGATATTGTGAAATCAATTCCAATAGTTTCTGTGAATATTGATATGTCATGTCATTTATTTTTTACATCATATAAATACTGCTGTCTTACATGGAGCTCTGTAACACTAAGTGTTATGGTAGTGAAGAACAGTAGAGGTAATATTCATCCAGCTACTTACAATATCAGTACCTTGTGTGCACTTTCCAAATCTAACTGTGAATTAGCAGCTGTCTGCAAGCAGAGTTGTACACACTGTGTTCCCCTTCCAGCGATTTCACTGCATGTCCCTCCGCATTGAGAGATCAAAGACTTCCTCCACAAAGACAGCTCCAGGAACTTTGTGGACTTTGTGACTTTATTAGGAAGTTGTTCTCTGTATGCCCAGTGACTGGACTCTGTATGTTACACTTGTTTGTGTGCTTACTGTATGAGATGTAGCAAATGGAAATGGGGATTAAAAGGACGTTGTATTTTATTGTGGTGTTAAAAGATCCTTCTTCTTCACAATTAAGCATCAATCTGCATATTTTTATTGAGTATTTGCCCAACTCTGTCATTTTTGCTACTGTGCATACAAGACATTTTGTATGTATTGTGAAAAATTTGAGGGTTAGCAAAGAAATAGCAAGCATACATGAGACATGGTAACATAAACAAGTTCAATTCCAGGCAATAAGTCAGAATTGTTTATGTTATCAGTGCTCAAGTAATACACCCGACAGTGTCTGAAATGAATAGGGTTAATGCCAGAAACATTTCTAAAAAATAATCTTTTGTCTCAGAATTTTGGGAGTTTATTTATCTATTTTTTGACACATTTAGGGTTAGGGTTAGGTTTTATCTACTGTAGGCTGACATTTTAGATTTAGAAGCAAGTTAATTTTTCAAATTGATAAACATTTTTCCTCTGACTGGCAGGAATATTAGCTTTTGTCAAAATATGATAATACAGATTTTCAAACAAATTGAACAAACTTCTATATTTGACTTATATTTTGTGTAAAAGAGCATTTCCAAAATCTTACATAACTGTTGCCAATTGGGATTATTTAAGGTTCTACACCTTTACAAGTTAACCATGTGGTTCTTAAGCATCATAATTACCATAATCAACCAATCAAAACCATAGTTTGAATCTATGATATGTCAGGAAGGACATCCTGCATAAAAACTCTGCCAAGTCGGCTTGTAGATTGTGGTGTCTCATATGGCTGCATGAGGTAGAGAGGAATGGATTCAACCAATCAATGGGGTTAAAACCAAATGCTATCTTCAGCTGGTTTGTGGGAGGTCTTGGCAAAAACAAAAGATCACAGGCGGTAAAAAGAGATAACTGTACTCAGAAGGCTGTTAGCAGAAGATCATTACCAAGGCTATCCTGATGAATGTGAGCTATGCTAGTGGAATTATCCCAAGCCAAAGAACCCAAGAGACACTGCTGACCACCATGGAGAGAAACCAGGGAGGAAGACATCTTGACTGACCTTCATGAACTGTTATGTGTTCAAAGAAGAAAACATCTTTTCCTCTGTTACAGTAGGGGAAAACATATTAGTTTTCACGTAATGGAAAAGGAAACCTAATCAAATTATCATGAAACGCAAGACCAACAGTCTGCAGATCTTTGTCGACATTAGATGTTTCAGTATTACAGTCATTTGAAATGTAATGTACTGTGATTGGTCTAGTCAGACAATTTAAACATGACACGGGATGGATGGAAAGATTAGGGGGATGCTCATTTCTTCCAAACACAGAAACATGGAGCTCACTTCCAAAGGTAAGAGATACCACAGCCAACATGAAGCTGATCAACAATTATAGGAAGGGTTTGGATGCGTTTATCCAATAGAATTTATTTTACTGATTATTGAGGAGGAATTTTAAAAATGTATTTCAGCAGGATGTCCTTTGTATTTTGTTTAAGTCGCTATGGAGATGCCTGTGTCATCACCAACTTATTGATGAATAAAAATAAATCTGCCAGAGGTAGGAATCTATATGTCATCTGAAGCTGAACTTTGATCATGGTGTACAAAACAAATCCCAGATCAGATTGGAGCTTTAGTTTTTCTTAAATATGATTTAGCCAGAGCATCGGATTGAGGAAACTTAATGTGATTTTTCACAGTGAATCATGAAATCAACTCAAATCTAATTAATTACAAACCCTCCAAAAAAAACTTTTTATTTCATCCATAAAACACAAGAGTCCTCTTAGGCTGCAGAGTAGTCCAGATATTGTTTTAGGTGATTATACCACACAGGGATATTTAGTGCTCTAAAAAAAAAAACATTATATTCAATGACTGTTTTCATGTTCCTTCTTGTTTTAACAAATTTCCGTGTTTATATGTATTATTTTATGCTTAAGCGCATCACAAAGTTGTACACCATTTAAAAGAGTAGAAGATTTCATTTCAATCTTATTGGAAAGTAAAGTTTTTCCACAATATTTCAATTCAGGTCACTCCTACTTTGTATAGCCTCCTACTCACAGATAATGTTTTATGGTCTTTTTTTTTTTAACCTTTGCACTTTTAAAAACTGTAATGGTTCTTCTAGAAATACTTCAAGTGCAGTGGCGCTGAACGAAGACTACCATTGAACATTAATGATTGAGTCTTGCAATAGATAGCCCGTTTGATTCCTATCGTGACTTCTAGACTGGGCCATTTTAGCACAGAAAAATGCTTTGATCTTAGCAAATTAGACTTGCTGTACTATGACCAATATTTTATAGAGCCTCTAACAGGTTTTCTTCCAGGTCCTGGCTCAGAACTGAGGACCCAGTATTCAGACAGACAGAAAGACAGTATGATATCTCATAAGGCGTTAATTAAAAATGACAAATTTGCAGTAAGCAGCTGGGCAGGAACCTCTGCAGGAGGAAAACACAGGTTAGGGACCAAGTTAATCTGGCGAAGGATAATTACCATTGTATTTACTAAGCTGGTCTTAAAGTTCAGTCCATGTTCAGGAGAAGAGGTGGATTCCAGCTGGACAGCCAACACAATACGGCGAACGCTGCCCAGAGAGTCCCAGACGTTAAAGTCCTGAAGACAGAAGAACAGGCAGGATATTAGATCCAAGCAGACAAAAGAAGGCAGAACAATACAGAGGAAAAGGTTTAAGCCGTGTCAAGGAGATTCACAGGAGTCTGGGCCAGAAGATCAGAGGAGGGCAGTGTGGGGTTAAGAGAACCCAGAGTTGAGGCTGTGGGGATCGAACCAGGTACTTGCAAACTTCTGAGAACGCATGCGCACTGCTCTAAGCACTAATCCAACACACTGTTTCTTCTGTTCCAAGAAGGCCAAGATTTGCATAACTAAAAATTGTCTGAACAAATTCTACCACCTGATCTTTCCAGCTGCTCAAAAGTGACTAACTTTTCTCTGTCCTGTTTCTGATTAATCTTATTCTTACACAGTTGGTTTGTTGTGGTGGACCATGTCTTGGTAGGCTTGTGTGTATGCTATATTGTTTTTATTTCCAAACGATTACCTTTTCTCCATTGTTTTTAAACAAATATTTTAGGCCTTTCTACAAAAAGCTACAGATAGCGTTTAACGTGTCTGTGTTTGTGGTTGTAAGATGAAAACATGTCATACGTTTGTACATTATTTGCTAATGCGCAATACATATTTTGTTTTTAATCCAACATGTTTTCTCTTTTGCCATTGCTTTGTATAATCACTGAATTAAATAGATATTACAAGCCTGATCTCTGGCACAAATCTTTCTACATTTTCTGGCTCTTTCTAGCTTTCAGTAGTCTCTATGATCTGAAGAAAGCTGCACCGAACTAAACCTATGCTTCTCTTTTTAAATAGCAGCACTTTCCTGTATTAAACATGCTCAAATATGCCAAATAGACCAAAATAGACATAGATAACAGCCACTGAGCTAATTTAGGCAGCATTTTAAAAGTGATGAATTTATTTCTGACGATTAAACAGGAGGATGTGCCAAAAAAGGGCCATCTGAGTTCGACAGACCTCTAAAGAAAATCTGGGACAAGATGTCAGGTGCAAAACTTTGTTATGACTTTAGCTATTTCTCAAAGAAGAATGTTCACCTTTCTGTCACTTATTCTCTGTTGTGTGGCTCACTTGACAAACTGTCGGAAGGCATTTTTTGGCCTGAAAACCTGTTTTCTGCAGTGCATTAATTCAGAGGGCTTTGAAGTGTCTTTTAAGGGGAATGAAATTGTGGCCCGCCACAGATCTGACAATGATAACAAATAATGCTAAAACTCAGAGAGGAAGCCTAAAAAAAGAGTCTGCCTCACCATGATAAAGCTGTATTCAGGAGTAGATTGCAATGAATGTTGGATAAAAGCCCTGCACTCATTACTTCCTATTAATAAACATACCAAGATGAAGTAATAAATGCAAATAAAACAATAATAATAACAACTGCAAATAAGCAATATTATGCTTTTTAAACAGTAAAGGGACAAGAAATTATTAGAAAGTTAAAAAAAAAAGGAAAAACGTTAATATCTGTTTAGTTTCAACAGTCAAGCTGATGTGCAGCAACAGCAAATCTGTAGCTCTCTCTGTGTGACATAAGTAATTAGTTACTAAACCACACTGACAGCTGCAGCGGTTCTGCCCTGTAGCTGGGTTGCAAATGACCAGAATGAAGGTTAAACAAGTTGGGAGAGACTTCTGCTGTTGATACCCAGGAATTAGTGTAAATCCTGCAGTGCTGAGTCTTCTATTATAATTTAAACAACAAAAGCAAAAGTGGCGTTGAGTGAATAATTTAAAATGAGGCACTTCCCTCAAGCTGAGCTAACTTGACGTTTTCAGCAGAAAGTGATGTGATGATGACCTACTTTATGTGCTGAAATCACTAAACCCTTGATGAAAAACTATTAACCATGATGCAAATTAACTTTATGCATAACTGTCACATTTACATCTTCAAAGCCTAAACACCAATAAATACTCTTGGTACAAAAATGTCAGTTTTATTTTACTATCTTCCTTTCTTTTTAGACTTGAAATAGAAAATGAGTCTAATTTGGTTCTAAGATAAGATGAGTTGTTAGCGTTCTCATTTATTTAGGAAAGAAACAACATATAAAGATATATCTTTCAAGTCTGAATGATAACCTATCTAGAGAAATATCAAAGAATTGATTTTACATCAACACAATCAAAATATAGCAAATCGGCTACCATGCATCTCAATCCAGAACGGCGGGTGGAACCATGAAATATTAATCGAAGAAGACTCATCTCAGCCCGCATCTAAAACCTCTGCTATCATTACTTATGGGCCAACAAGGAAGCACTGTGGCATGTCTTCTTGTTAGCAGCAGCTACTGGAGACTTGATCAATGACTGTATGAAAAAAAACATGGACATAGTATCCGCTTTGATAAATGAAGTCAATGTGGTGAATCACATGCTCAGCAGAAGATTGGTCATCTTCCAATAAGAAAATTGGTTATTTGATCCCCTGCCCTACAAAGAGTCCTTCAGTTTGACGCTGATGTGTTCAAAGGTGTATAATTGAAGGGCACAAAAGGGTTGTGTGTATGCTGAAGGATAAATAGGACATGGAAAGTATTTTTCCTCATTTGAGAAAATGGCCCTTTCTCTGAATTGTTCTTTGATTATCTGTAAACATGCTTGTTTTGTAAACCTCATCTGAAGTAAATTAGATATTAGACAACATTTTAGAATCTAGGGCTAAGTTTTCATTTTGAGAAAAACAGTCATAGTGCTTTTTTTCCTCTGTTCAACACTCCACTGGGTTTTTACTTTAACATTAAAAGGGCACAATTGTTTACTCTGACTACAAATATACAACAACAAAAAATTCTGGACAAAATTGTTGGTACCCTTCATTTAACATAAGTAAAGCCCACAACGGTTACAGAAATAAATTGAATCTGGCAAAAGTGATAATAAATTTGAAAAAAAATCTATGAAAATGAACAAATGAACGTTATACTTTGCGCCAAAAGAATGTTTTAAAAAAATTAAACGTATGAAACAGGCCTGATGTTATCACTGTAGTCAAACTGTTCTTAGCAGGTATTTAGGCCTTCTCCTCATCATTATGCTTAAAAAGGAATGCATTGCTATAATAAAATATTTTTTTGGCACTTCCTAAGATGCAATCCGAACTGTCGATTTGGAAAAAACAACCCTTAAAAAGGAGAAGACTGTTTGTTTTTGTTTTATTTAATTTTTTTTACAATTGTTACGACTGGCTCAGGGTCGTAACAAAAACATGAAACCATGCCGTGGTTAAAGCGCGCAAAAACAAGTCTTTATTAACAAAACAACCATGGATTGTGGAAATCAGTATCAGTGGTGTAATGTAAATGCTTGGATGTGTTGTATGAATGCATATGGAGATGTTGAAGTGCCAAAAAAAGACAAAATCAAAGGTGCAACGGAAGGGAAGCTGAGGCCTGGCCACCAAACATCTCCAGCGGCAGAGTGGACGCTGCGGAAAGCCAGCGACACTGAAGACGGGGAAAGCCAGGTTAAAATACTCTGCACGCCCAATCACCAGATCCGAGTCACCTGCAAAGGGGAGGAGCATAAAAACGGACACCAAGACACCTGCAAAACAGCCCACAAGGCCCAGGGCCGTAACAACACTTGTTTCATATCAGGAGAAAATGGTTTCAAAACATTAAAAGTAGAAGACAGCAAAGTGGCTACAACAGTCACTTCAATGTTTTCCAAGTGGCTATACCCGCACTAATTATTGTTCATTTTAAAGCTAATTTTGAATTAGGATAAAATACTGTCATGTTTCAGTTAACTAAAATGTGACTTTTTTGTTAGACCTTTTGTCACTGCACTTTAATAAGCTAATAGAAGAAGAATAGAAAGAGAGATTGTCATAATTATTTTTGTTGTTTAATCATTCTATAATATTATCATTATATTTTTCTGATGACAAATTTTTGTGCACCTTCATTTTGTAATGCCTTTTGCTGAATGTTTATTTTGGACAAAATAAAGTATTAACTTAATAATTCAGATGGTAATACTGTAAAGAGACATTCCTTTCTAACAAAGGTAACTTGCAATATGAAATATGTTACTTTTTGCAGGTAACTTGTCCAACGCTGATAAGGAGTGAACAAGAAAGTGATGGAGCCCGGTAAGTTAGCATTTTCCCAGCCGATTTGAGCAAAGAAAGAGTCCAGGGTCAAATCTGGAAAAACTCCAAAATATGTTTGAGGCCTAGATCGAAAAGACAACAGTAGTGTTGGAAATACAATATCAAAGCTGGGCTTCACTGACGCCGCCGAAACTGATAATTTAATGGATGCATGAGTAATACTACCAGCACATGATGACAGCGTTTAACAAAGTGCATGTCTGCTGATCGCACCAGGTGTAAACATTTATTTCTAGCTCAAAAGTATTAAGTAAACACTATCAGGCCTAACATTTGGCATATATTTCTTTATTGCAACTTGAATATATGATTCTTGGTGTGTGTGTTTTTTTTAAGCAGAGTATGTGACAAAGGTGTAAAATAAAAGTAGATGTTTTGGTTCTTTTCTAAATAAAAAACCCAGTGTTTCCCCCCTAAAGGCAGATTGTAAATGGACCAAATGTATATAGCATTTTTCTGGTCATTTTAACCACCCACAGCCAATTATGCTGGAGTGTATGTACAGTGATGAATATACGTATTTGAACACCATGCTATTTTGCAAGTTCTCCCACTTAGAAATGATGGAGGGGTGTGAAATAGTCATCGTAGGTGCATTTCTGCTGTGAGAGACATAATCTAAATTTAAAAAATCGAGAAATCCCATTATATGATTTTTAACTATTTATTTGTATGATGCAAACTCAAGGTCTGTGGGTTTAATCCAGCCTGCCACGGCAATTTGTCCAGCCCTCGAGAGCCGAAAAAGGTACAGTATATCATGTAATAAAGTAGAGGCATATGTTCAGAGAATACAGGATTGCTAAAACTGCTAAATGGATGGGGGAAAAGTCCTATTACCAGAGCAGTGTGCTCTTTGTAAATAAAATGCTGAAATAAAAGTCAAATTTCTACATCTGAAACTTTCCTGCACTAGAGCAGCATTAACACAGTAGCACTGACAAATGAACACATGCAAACACCCATACACAGACTAGTGGATGAATGTGTGTTAATCTTTTCTTTACCTCTGACTGTTAAGTAGCGTTGAGATGACTTTGGCCGTTTATAAAACTGTTCACTTCAAGGTTCTCATCAATGGGGGCTTAACTATGAAAATGTTAATTTGAAAAGAGTCATTCCAAAAACGTTAAAAAGCAATCCACTGGACTTTGTTTTCAAGTTTGAAGACATTTCTCTTACCATTCAAGAAGCTTTTTCAATTCCAAATTTTCCAAAAAAAAATAGAGTTGAGTCCGAGGCTTTCTTCAATAGCCCAACAAAGCCTTGTTTTTGTTTAGAAAACATGCAAATTGAAACTGACCAACGCATTATTTTTTTCCTTCCTTTGATAAACTAAACAGTGTAAAATCAACTCCATTAATTCCAAACAGTGTCTTGCATCTGAGAGTCTGGAGGACGATGTGGTCATTTCTGAGCGACATCGCTTTCAAAAAATGAAACAATGATTTTGACTGGTTTGGACAGTTGACATCATACTGTCACCAGAGGCTATTCAGGGGTTCCAATTCATCTTATAGGGGACTATTTACTTAATTTCACACAGCAGAGAAGGTCCTCCCTTTTCTCCTCTCTTTGCATCTTTTCCACATAGCAATCATAAATGCCACCAGTGTACAGTGTTGTTGCAAACTGCAGCTGCTTGGGGACATGCAAAATGAATTCCCTCAGCTCTCTCAGGCTCTATATGACAGCGAAGAGCGCTGCAAAAATCCTAATTTTTATTGGACAGACTGCAGTACTTGTCATTAGTTGTTTTCATAGATTACCTGTAACACACCCACTAATTGTATGGGTAGTTTTTCAGCAGGTATTCAGAGCTTTATTCTTAATTTGCAAAGTGTTTGCTCAAGTTGCCTGTATTTGTGAAGCATGGACATATGAATCCTTTACAAGTTATTCGATAAAGTTTTTATAAGGTAGATGCAAATTTATGTTTGTTTGTCTGGGGGGGGGGGGATAAAAAACATTTAGGACATATAAATGCCTCTGCAAAACTGTAAACAGCAAGCCTCCAATACCTTAAATAAAGCCAAAAAAAGACTTAAGACATAAACTGGCATATGTTTCTGCCTACAACATATAAACTTCTCTATGGGAAGACCAACTTACTCACATGAAAACCTTTTAATGAGACAGAAGTTGTCAAGATAGTCGGTTGCTTCTGAGCGGCTGTAGGGATGCATGTGGGTGTGTGAGACACTGCAGGTATTGTATCAATGAGGGCTGGCATTTAATGAGTCTCTGTTTCACCAACTCTCTCCTCCTAAAAGTCTGCCCTCTATTTACATCGATGTCTCTGACATGTATGTTCCGAGGCAGCTTTATTATTTTTAATAGTCGAAAGCAACTTCTGCCATCTTGCCAAATTGAAGCCCTGTGGCCTAGTTTCCTCTCAGTACCATCCCTGTTTTATGTATGCGGAGAGCACGAGGTCAGCTCAGCTTCAGCAGTTCAGGCAATCTTCTCTACTAATTGCTTCAATATCAAACCTTCTGGGTGTAGTCACCTCTAAAAGAATCGCAATCACTTTGTATAAAAACTATTCCCAATGTTCATTTGGTGAAAAAAACAATAGTTAAGCTGCCACAACAAAGTAATTCAGATAAATGATATAAGTCGGTTTTCTTTTTAAAGAACATAACTGATAACAAAAGCAGTTGGAAAAAGGAGTCTAGTATTCTTACTAATTCATGGGGGAAACAGTTTTGTCAGCCTTTAATTTTATTTATTTAAATCAATTTAATTGTGAGATTGGCAAATTTGCCTTGGTTACAGAACATGAGCGCAGTTTGTCCGTTTCCGGAGAGGAGCATCATTCTTACTCTGTGTATTGGGAGATTATCAGGCACTCTGAAATTGCAGATGTAAACTTGGGGTGTGTTTGATTTTAAAGGCTGCATCCGCCCAGGACGCGGTATATCTGGACTGGATCCTTCGAGGTCGGTGAAAATAAGGAAACTGGAAGAGTTTTGGCTGTGAATTCAAACAGGCCCAGCCTTCTCCGGCTTTCACCAGTATGCTCTGTCGCATAGCAACTATGACAGTTGACACAAAAAGCAGAAAAAGAATGAGTACTGAACTTCTCACTGCTGTGTAACATTTTCGAGGAGCTTCAACAGCTGCAGCGTATCCGATTTATAGTCCTCAACACTGTAGATATATTAGAATCTGTCCTTAAATGTCAGCCAAACCCATTTACAAAGTAAGAGATAAAAACCTTTCGATAAATCAAACATTACCCACCAAAGATCTGACTCGAAACCATTTAAAAACAATTTTCATTAGTTTCAGAGGAAACTATTCACATACTTGTATAAGAAGAAACTGCACTGCCAATATTCACCACTGCTCGGCGCCATATACCTTTTTTCTCTGAGCACGGAGAAGCCGGTTTGCTTGGTCTCGCAATGAATCCTGGGATATCCAAGGCTACATAGGATACACCGGACTACTCATTCAAAACGGGCAAAAAGAAGGATGCATTTGTCGGCCCCATAATGAGGAGTCACTGCTCTATGATGTAAACGGCCTACGAATCTGGCCTTCGCAGGACGCATCCCCTAAATTTGAAATCAGCATTGGTGTGAACCACAAGATTATCACCTCCATCCACAGCACATGGATGCAATGATTCATGCCAGAGAGACCAAACCAAGTAATGGGTAAAATTGTGGTTTAAAATGTCCTTTTTTATATATTAACCAGGTATACTAACAATTTGGAGAAAAAAAATAATGAATTTGGAGTTTTCTTACTAAGCAAGTCATAACAACCAAAAATGATCAAATAAAAGCTATGCTGCTAAAGGCTTAGACTGCTGAGGGCATAGATAGAAGACGTGTTATGAATTGGTACTATATAAATGAACTGGACTAATTTAAAAAACTTAAACTATTCAACACTATTTATAATAAATCTGTACAACGTATGCGTCTCACTTTCTAAAGGAGTGACTAAAACATTGAATTTTTTTCACAAAATTCCTTTACTTGTACCTTTAGAGTTGAAGGTTTAGTTGTATGCTATTTAGTTTCTGTACAATTGAGAAAAAATAAGGTAATACCCCCGATGGAAACCACATTCTAAAACTGGAACATCCATCTAGAAGCAGTTCATCGAACACAGAGTATCCTAAAGGAAAAGAGCTAAAGATGAAGGCCCATCCACCCTCAGGCCGACAGACTTGCCCAAAAGATATTCTTGTTTCTAACTAAAAGTTGAGGGGAAAAAACGGCAGGAAGTTACATTCTATCATTCTGACCTGATCACTTACTGGTTTCTTGTTTTAATCTTTTGTTTACATGGAGTTTTCCTGCAGCAATGGTTGTCCAAGAACCATGAGAACTTCTCATAACTCCATTTTATATTGACCTTATTTAGGTGGACTTATTGGGGCTCGATATTTGTGCATTTTGGCTTTTTTTTTTTTTTTGGGCAGATTATTCCTATATAAATAAACTTTTTTTGTTTTTTTGCCTTCTCCTTCTGATTTTTAAAGGAAGCCTAACAAACCTCAAGTCCACATCTATCACTTTTAGGCTCTACTAAGAGAAAACTCCAAGCTTGTGCTCCAATATCATTTCTAGATTTAAGATTAACTTTTATCTAACAGGGGATGCTACAGAGAGACAACAAGATGTGCAAAATACAAATAGCGCCTTAAAAAAAGGAGTCTTTCACCTTTTCAGCACTTAGGAACTTTTGAAAGTCTTTTACACCTAAGATTTGTACAGTTACGGTTCACAGGAGAAAATGGGCGATGCCTAAAACAATCCAGAGCAGATTGAAAGGGGCGAAAGGTGGCCTGCCATGGTGGCCCTTCATCATTAGACTCATTGGCACCAGTGGAACATACACTGGAACCTGTACATTTGGAGCAATTTGGTGATGTTAACAATGAGTCATAATTCTGTCTAGTTGCATCTATTAGTCTGCCTAATGTGAAGAAGATGCAGGGAGTGGGAAAGTCTAGAAAA